CGCGTGTCTGAGCGCTGCGCTGCTGCTTCTGGGCGCCGCGACCCGCGCCCTCCTCCCGGGTGAGTGCCAGCCGGGCCGGGCCGGGGGCCAGACCCCTCGACGGGGCAGGGGCACCTGCTGCCTGCTCCCGAGCTGTGGGGATAGGGGTGAGTGGGCCCAGAAAGGCTCTAGATGCCCCGCCTGTGGCCCAGCTCCCTGCAAGTTCTTGCTCCCAAGAAGTGGTCTCCCAGAGCTCGGAGTGGGGACCGTTAGGGCCTCCACAGCCTGTGCCTGGGGAGCCGGGTCATCGGTGGGTGGCGGAGTGGGTTTGGCCCACCTGGGAAGGGAGTTTGCTTTACTTCGCCCCACCCTCACTGCGCCGGAAGCCCCCCCGGGTGAACCCCAGGTGCGTGGGAGAGAGCTTGAAGCCCCTGCGTCCCCAGGGTGGCTCCTCTGTGCAACTGGCGCAGCTACCTGGAGTGACCTGCTCTACCCTGAAGTTCACACTGACAAAGCCTTGGGGCTCCTTTGCATTTACCTCATGGTCTGGTTGGTGAAACTGAGGCAGCCAGTCAGGACTTCACAGTGTGGAGTACCTGCTCCAGGCTGGGCATGTGCTGAGATGTCTCTCAGGTCAACACCTCAGACTCTCTCACCAACCCATTTCACGGAGGAGGAGCAGGCCAGAGAAGTGGAGGGATGGGTGTGGATGGCTAACTCGGTTGCATAGTCTGCCCTGGGCTTTTCATTCTATAGGGCAGGGGTATTTGGGTTGGGCTTTTAAGGCTGCATAGGAGTTTGCCAGGTGGGAAAATGGAAAAAGGGGTGAACAGAGGGAATGAACAGACAAAAGTATGAAGGTGTGAAATGGCCTGGTGTGTTAAGGGATGTGCTGTGGGCGGAGCTTAGGGTTCATGAGGCAGTGGTGGGGTGGAAGCCAGAAAGGTGCTATAAGTTAGGGCCCGGTTATAGGTGGCCTTGAATGGCAGGTTAGGAACAAGGGTACTCTCCTTATAGCCATGAGAGGCCTATAAGTAAATATCTTTTAAATAAATATTCATTGACACTAGGTGAGGTATAGGGGCTACAAGGAAACAAGACAGTCCTCTTCCTTATAGAACTAACCTGCCAGAGTGACAGCCAGATATCAACCCACACACAAGTCAGATTATTTCAGCAGTAATACGTGTGAATACATTAAAGGAGAGATTGGGAGCTCCAGCATGTGGCTCAGTTGGTTGGAGTGTCTGTCCTGTACACCAAAAAGGTTGCGGGTTCGATCCCCAGTGGGAGCGCATATGGGAGGCAACCGATAGATGTTTCTCTCCCATCGCTGTCTCTCAAGGAGAGATGGGAAAGATCCTGGTGTGGATGGGACATTTGAGTTGAGATCTGAACAATGAGAAGTATCTTCCCCAAAGTGTAAGGTTTCCTGGAGGAGCTTCCCAGGCAGAAGGAAAAGTGAGTGCAAAGGCCTAGAGGTGGGAATGCACCTAATATGTTCAGTGTGGGAAGGGTGGGAGAGGCACCTAGAGGGCCTTGGGAAGGAATTGGAGTTTACTTTTAACCACTGGGAAGCCATGTAGGTTTTAAAGTCACCAAGATGGAACAAGCAGAAATAGGAAGCCAGTTGAGGAGACTGGTGATTTTCTTGGGAAGAGTAGATGGGGCTTGCCCTGGGCTAGCTACTGTGGAGGAAGCAGATGTGGGGAGCTTCTTGATGGCTCTGGAGACAGAGCTGGTGTGACTGATACCCAAGAATGATCTGATCAGATAGGTTTCCATTCCATGTGGTTTGTGGAGTTCGGTGTGGCGTATGAATTTTAAATTCAAGTGGAGAGATCGCTATTTCTCTCCAAAAAAAGAGGCAGAATTGCTTTTTACTTATGAAGGGTTTGTCAAAGTGTTCCTTGCTCAGCCTGATCACCAGAGGTAATGTCCCTGATCCAGGGGCACACAGGTCACTCCAGAAGGCCTAGGTCACCATGGGGGTGAGGGGGTTAAGGCAGACTCGAGCAGCAAGGCCTGGGGTTCCTGCCTATCTGGCCTTGCAACACTAGCCCAGCTAGAACTTATTAACTAGAAACCTTATGTCGTAACCTTTGCTTACCAGACAGGAGATCATCACTGTTTCCCCAAAATGGTGAAGCCTCAAGTCTCCCATGCAACAACTTGCACCTCCCCCCATAAAAGAGGGTACTGAGCCCTTCCTTGGGGGTGAGCGTGCCAGGACAATTTGTCTGGTTTCTCTGTGTGACATTTCACCCACCGGCCTGTGGGTGCTGTGAATCAGGTTTTGTGCAGGGCAGAGTGGGTGCCTGAGAGGCAGGATGGCATGGCTTGCATTAAGGACATACCTATGCTGTGGCTTAGGGTAAAATCCTGTTTCTGGCCCTTACTTGCTGTGAGGCCTCAGGCATGTTTCTTTACCTCTCTGATCCTCAGTTTCCCCATCAGTCAGGTGGGGATAATAATAGTTACTACCCAATAGGAGAAAGCATTAATGTACACAAATCACTGAATACAGGGCATGGTGCCTGCCGGGAAATCTGTGGCCTGGCCCCCTCAAACAGGCCAAAGCCTGGCCTCCCTCACTTACTGCTGCTTCTGGCCCACAAGCATTGGACACCTCAGGGTGTTGGATTGATCTTCATGCTGGCCCACTGGTCTGGGACCACAGCCTATCTGCAAGTCTGAGCTGCACTGTGTCAATGGCCTGGGCACCATGGGCATGGGCCCCTGGCTCTCCCAGACTGCTGGCAGCTCATCCCCCAGTGCTTGCCTCCCCTTCAAACCCAGCTCGTTTGTCTGAGCTATTTTAAAATCTTGCGATTTCACTGCTGTTATCTGTCTGATTCTGTCTGTTTCTCCTTCTCCCAGCCTCTGTCCCTGTCGTTTTTTGTAGTTCTCTCTGAGTCTCGGTCTCTGTCTTTGGCACCCCAGTCCCTCTTTTTCTCCCTCCTATTGCCCTCTCTTCTCTCTCTTCTCTCCATAACCTCCTGCTATTTTTGTTTCCTTTTTTCAAAGCAGAACCCCCGTGTGGTTTGCCTGTGGTTGCTCTGGGCGGGTGGAATTCTTCGGCTTAGTCCCAGGACCCTCCCTGACCACGAGACTGGGGCCTGCCCACCTGACAATCTCTGGCCTGTCTTCTCCAGAGTGCCCTAGGCAGGGGCCCTGGGACATGGAGCCCAGTGGAAGGGCTGGGGGGAAGAGAAACAGGCCAAGGTGGCGCTTGGGTCATGGCAGTGGAGGTTGGGGGAGACCTCAGGGTGGCCCTATTTGGGGCGAGTCCTTACTCTAGAGCCCCAGCCTCTAGCTATCCAGAGTGGGGGGCTGAATCCTGGGATCTTCAAGCATTCTGCTTTGACCCCCTAGACCCATCTGTCCCTCTCTATGGCCAGCCTGCCCATCCTGGCAGACCTGGGTTCCTCTGATCTGTGTGGGAGGGCTGCGTGGGGATGGCCCAGCCCTGTAATCACTGGCCACAGCTACTCTAGGCCTTTCTCTGGTGCCCATTTCCTCTTGCACTCCACCCACTAGCCACTGGAGTCTGGTGTGGGACCCACTCTCCTGCAGGCTGTGGTCTGCCCAGGAAATGACAGGCCTTTCCCAAGGGCTGGTGTTTCTGGAAGTCTCTGAGTTATGGAGCCCTGATGTAGAGACGGGCCTAGGTTTCTCCTCTGTCACTTGAGGTTTCTCCTCCCACAACCCCTGGTGGGCACCAGCCCTTCCTCAATCCCCACTGTGGTTCCAAGCTCGTCACTGGGTGACCTCATGCCAGAGGTAACATCCCTTGGAGCCTCCACCTTGCCATCTGCAAAATGGTGAGAAAGGTCTCCCTCCACTCAGGGCTGTGAGAAGTGCTATGCAACTGTGCTACCAGCAGCTCTTCATGGCTGTTGCCACACTTAGGCCAGCAGTGGTGGCCGGACCCACCAGCCCCCAGCCTGGGGCCTCCCTTACTTTGAGGGACTAGCCAACATTATTGCCCTCTCCGGTCAGCTCATTTTCTGATGACTGTGGCATTCCTGGGACATGTCCAACTGCCACAGAGATCCCTGGGCCTGGGTTTAGAGACAGAAGTTAAAGTGCTGGGACCACTGATAAATCCTAAGACACAGGCAGGCCCTGAGGGCCTCACCTCTACCACGTGCCCTGGGGACACTGGAGTGGGGGAGGGCCTGAGGCTGCCTGAGGTGTGGTAGGGGCCCTGGACAGTCGGCTTTAGGTGTGCACAGAGGGTCTGGAGGCCAGGGCAAGGCCAGCCTGGCTGCCATTCATTCATTCATTCATTCATTCATTCATTCATTCATTCATTCATTTAACCAGCCTCTTTAAGGAGCACACCCTCCATCCAGGCACTGTTCTACCCACCAGGCACTGTTCTAGTCCAGTGTTCTCAGTCTGCTTCCCAACAGTAGCAGCAGCACCTGGGAACTATAGAAATGCAGATTTGGGGGCCTCACTTCAGACCTACTTGGCCAGAAACTGCGCATGGGGCCCAGCAACCTGTTTTAATAGGTCCCATGCAAACCTAAGTTTGAGAACCACTGCTCATGGTCAGTTTGCAAAGAGAGCAGTTCATCAAATAACCCAATTTTATTTGTTCACCAAAAAGTTATCTTAAGGAAAAGTCTTAAATCTTTTCAATGAATGTATTCTTAGCAGCATTTTAAACACTTCATTTTTGCCTGGCCGGGTGTGGCTCAGCTGTTGAGCATCGACCTGGGATCTGGGCGATCAGGGTTCGATTCCCAGTCAGGGCACATGCCCAGGTTGTGGGTTCGATCAATGACTCTCTCATCATTGATGTTTCTATCTCTCTCTCTCTCCCTCTCCTTTCCTCTCTCTGAAATCAATAAAGATATATTTTTAAAAAATTAAAAAAATAAATACTTCATTTTGTTGAAATGGAAACATTCATTCTTCTTATGGATATATTCTTTTTTCATGTGTTCCCAAATTCTTGAAGACATTCTTCTTATGAATATCCAACATTCTTATGAGTTCAAGAATATATTAAGATAGCCATTGAATATATTTAATTTTTTTGTTTTGTTTTGTTAATTGTCACCTAAGGATATGTTTTCCATTGATTTTTAGATTGAATGGAAGGGCGGGGAGAGAGAGAAAGAAAGAGAGAGGGAGAGAAGCATCAATGTGAGAGAGAAACATTGATTGGTTGCCTCCAACTGGGGCCAGAGATTCAACCTGCAACCCAGATAGGTGCCCTTGACGGGAATCGAACCCACAGCCCTTCTGTCCGTGGGCTGATGTTTGAACTGCTGAGCCAAACTGGCCAGGGCTGAATATATTTAAATTTTTAAACTAGATTTACATAAAATGTTCTTGGATATATTCATTTTTCATGATCAATGTTTTTATTTATTTTCATTGAGACATAATTCTCATTGCATAAAATTCACTTTTTAAAGTATACAAGACAGTGGCTTTTAGCATATTCAAAAGTTGCATGATATCACTACCATGTAATTCCAGAATGTTAGCCATCATCAGGCTCTCCCCCTTCCCAGTGCCCACCCACCTGCAGCCCCTGTGAACCACTAATCTACTTTGTGTCCCTATGAATCGGACTATTCTAGGCACTCACATAAGAGGAATCATACAATTTTATTCTTTTTGTGGCTAATTTATTTCACTTAGCATAATGTCCTCAATGTTCATCCATGTGAAGCATATGTCAGAATTTTCTTCCTTTTCAAGGCTGTGTATTATTCCATTGTGTATATAGAGGACATTTAAAAAATTTTTATTGTTGACAGTATTACAGATGTCCCCCGTTTTCCCCCATTTTGCCCCCTCCACCCAGCCCTCACCCCACCTCAGGCCTTCACCACATTATGGTCTGTGTCCATGGCCTATGCATATATGTTCTTTGGTTAATCTCTTCCCATCCCCCTCCTCTCCTCCCCTCTGAGATCTGTCATTCTGTTCCATGTATCCATGCCTCTGGTCCTATTTTGTTCATCAGATTCCATATTAGATTCCACATATAAGTGAGATCATGGGATATTTGTCTTTCTCTGACTGGCTTATTTTAGTTAGCATAATAATCTCCAGGTCCCCCCGTGCTGTCTCAAAGGGTAATAGATCCTTTTATACAGCTGCGTAGTATTCCATGGTGCAAATGTCCCACAGCTTCTTATTCACTCATCTACTGATGGGCACTTGGGCTGTTTCCAGATCTTGGCTCTTGTAAATAACGCTGTTGTGAACATGGGGTCATAATTCTTCTTTTTCTCCTCCTCCTCATTCTCCTCTTGCTTCCTCTCCCCTGCCTCCTTCTCCCCCTCCTCCGTCTCCTTCTTCTTATTTTTCAAGAAGTCTGTTAACATTTCTTGTAATACTGGTGGTTGGGTAGTGATGAACTCCTTTAGCTTTTCCTTATCTGGGAAGCTCTATTTCCTATGATTCTAAATGACAGCTTTGCTGGATAGAGTAATCTTAGTTGTAGGTCCTTGCTTCTTCATCACTTTGAATATTTCACGCCAATCCGTCCTGACCTGCAAAGTTTCTATTGGGAAATCATCTGACAGTCTTATGGGAGCTCTCAACTAACTGCTTTTCTCTTGCTACTTTTACGATCTTATTTTTGTATTTAACCTTTGACATTTTCATGATGATGTGTCTTTGTGTGGGCTTCTTTGGGTTCATCTTGTTTGGGACTCTGCATTTCTGGAGCTTATATGTCTATGTCTTTCACCAGGTTAGGGAAGTTTTCCATCATTATTTCTTCAAAAAGGTTTTCAATACCTTTCTCTCTTCTCCTGGTACCCTATGATGCAAATATTGGTATGCTTAATGTTGTAGGCACCTTAAACTATCCTTATATTTTTTTTATTCTTTTTTCTTTTTGCTTATCTGATTGGATATTTTCATATTAATTGAATATGTTTAAGGAGATAGTCCTTAAAATACATTTTGAGTGAAGAATAAGCTTAGCAAGCTGAGTTTTTGGTAATTTTAGGAAGACTGAAAATTTTGGCACTGAGACAGACAGTATTTCTGCCCTCAGGGGCATCCAGTCATCTAGTCCGGGAGACAGCTAAAGCTGTATTTACCATGAGGGAGCATGCACACTGCTCAGAGAAGTACAGGTTGCTGTAGGCGTTCACAGTGGGTCAGTGGGGATCCTGAAGTCTGGCTGTGCCACTTCCACTACTGCCCATCCATTTCGGGACAGACAGGTAGCTTCTTGAGCCCCTTCGGTCATGAGGCTGGCCTGGGCAGGGCATGAGATGAGGGGAGATTGAAGTGGGTGAGGTTGGGTTATCAGGCCTTTCCCAGAGGGCTATGGGCTGGGTACCACCTTTCCTCTCATCCCCTCCTATCTGGCCCCCTCCAACTCTAGAGGGCAGGACATAGGAGCAGGAGTGACACCAAGCATACTGCCCTGATGGATTAGGGGCCCTGTCAGTGCTTCTCCACACTCCACCAACCCACCCCCATCCCGAGGCAGGTGGGAAAGGAGGGAAACTGAGTCTCAGAGATGGATGAGCTGCACCCTAGGTGAGCTGGACAAGCCCCCCAGCACCAAAGCCATTTCAACTGATGCAGCGACGACACCTCTCTCTTTATGTTCCACAGAATCTGAAAACAGGGCCCTGGGCTCTGGCTGGCTTGGTGGAAAGAAGAGGAGTCCCCTGCAGATGCTGTATGACCTAGACCAGGTAGGTGGACAGACACCCAACCTGGGACCCCTCCCTCTGTCTCCAGACATAGGAACCCTAGAGCCCCAATGTAGATCTACAGTCATGGGACTGGAACCCACATTGGGGACAGACCGGCATCCTCTGCAAATCCAGGCTCTGTTGAGAGACTAGAATGCCTGGGGATGTGACAAGGGCAAATCTTGGGGCAAGCTGAGAGATCTGGTGTCTCTACACACACCCCTACCTGTCCATCATTTGCTCAAAAGACTGGGTCCACTTTGACAGGCACTGTTCTATGTGTTGTGGATATGAAAGAGAGTGAAACAGATGCTGAGTCTGCCCTCAGGGAATTGACAGTCTAGTAGGGAGACAGTAATTAAGTGAACCCCCAAATTTAGTACCAGTTGCAATAGGGAAACGCGAAGGAGTCCCTGCCTCACCCGTTCTCAGGCAATGGACCAGGTAGCTTGCTGGTCCATGAACCTCACTTCTGATTTTTGCCCCACTAGGACCACACACTGTCCTCTACACACATACTGTTGTACCCCACTGAGAGTCACACCCCCTGGCTCACACCACACCCACCCAAACAGCCACACTCAGGGCATCCATTCAGGTAGCATGTGTTGAGCGCCTACTGTATGTAGACTGTGCTCAGGAAGCTGTGGATCCAGCCACATCCAGGTAGGCTGGTTCCTTGCCTTTGTGCAGCTGACAGTCCAGTGGGGGGCGGGGGGACAGAGACAGTATCTGATCACTGCCTCCACTAACCTGTGACTGATTTGTGTCTAAAGGGGAAGTATGAGGTACAATGAGAGCTCTACCAGGAGGGTCCTAGTTTAGATGGGGGAGAGGGACTCTCTGAGAAAGGGACATTGCAGCTGGGCCCTGCAGAGGAAGAGTTAAGAAGCAAACAGTAGAGGCCAAATAGCTGGAGGTAAGCAGAAGACAGAAAAAGGCATGTGAGGTGAGCCAGGGATGAGCAGTGGCCTGGTGTGGCCTGGCAAGTGAGGCAAAGACAATAGGGAGCCATAGAGGGTTTTAAGCCAGGGAGAATGATCAGGCTGGGTTTGGGAAAGTGCTACTTACTGAATACCCAAGGACTGAGCCAAAAGGGCACATGGAGCTCATCTGGCCCATGCCCTTAGGCTGCAGGTGGGAAAGCCCTTTGTTCAGAGAGAGTGAATGGCTTGCCCTGGGCCACACTGAAAGCCAAGGGTAAGGCAGGCTCTCATCAGGCCCCCAGAACGCTAGCTCCACACACTTTTGAGGAGCAGATGGGGCTGGCTCAGCCCCCTCACAGCCTGAGGACCCAGTAACCTTGGGGTGTCAAGGCCCTGGAAGCTTAGCACCTTACAGGTGAAGAAATAATAGTAGTAAGAACAATCTGGACAAGTGCTTTGTGCCAGGTTCTCTAGTTGTGTGAACTCAGTCCTCACAGAAGTCCTGTGAGGGGCTGCTGTTATCCCTGTTTACAGATGAGGAAACTGAGGCACGGGGAGGCTAAGGACCCTGAGAAGGTCACAGAGGCCACAGAGACTAGACCCAGGCTAAGGATCCAAGCAGCTGAATTTAGCCAGGCTGGGAGGGATGAGGGTGTCGCTGCTGGACGCAGTTCCAGACCAGCTCCGTCTTTTGAATCCCAAGGGACTCGAGCTGGAGCTTCCCTACCAGAGAGCTGTAGACCATTCATTTCTTCTAAGCCTCAGTGTTCTAACCTGTAAAATGGAGATAGCATTGACTATCTAGGTATTCATGGGGCTGCTAACAACAGAAAAGCCGACTGAGAATACATTAAGCCTTTAGGATGGTCAGTGTGTTCTCACCAAGATACTCAGAGACCAGCACCCCATGGACAGCAGCAACACTCTGCCCACCAACATCCTGTGGATGTTGGCTTCTGTCAAAGCCTTGTTGCCTCATGGCTGTAAGGTGAATGCTGGGCCCTGACATCTCACAGGATAGCATCCTAAGCAGAAGGGGAGGGGGTGAGGCAAAGGGTTTTCTTCCTTAAGGAGCCCTCACTTTTTCTCCTGAAGGAAAGTCTTTCTTTGGAGCCATCTAGCAGACTTCTCCTTATGTCTCCTTGGTCAGAACCAGGCCATCTGCCCACCCCTGGACCCATCACTTTAATGAATGTGTGACTGGTTTCCCCCTGAGGCTGGGTACATGGCCTGACATAGCTGAGGTCTGCTGGCAAGGAAGGAGGGAGACTGACAGGTGGGTGGATGGCCAACATTTCCCACCATGAGAAATGTGTTGGGTTGTCTGGAAGCTGAAAGCAGACCTTGGCTGTGGGGCACCTGGTTACAGTCCTCTCCTGGCACCCACATGGAGTCAGGCTTCTGAGGCCGATCCTGTAAGTCTCTGGGTGGGAATGCAATTTTCTAAGTGTCCTCAGGCCCCCTACAGCCACAGCTGAGCTTGGCAGCCACCCCGACAGAGATATCTGAAAAAGTAGCATAAGCACGATAGGGCATTCTACACTCCCACAGAGCGTACACAGAAGGGCGCCTCTCCTTCCCGCGCTGGCCCGTTACCTGTGGAAGCGACCAGCTGCCCGTGAATCCTTCCAGGCATGTTCTGGGCATGTATACAGCATCGAATGCTCTATCATGTTACCTTTTCAAAATCTCCCCTACAGCTACATATGTCCTCACTCTATTTTAACTTCTCATTTTGAAAAATTCAAACATATGCAGAAGTAGAGAGAATTGTACGACGAACACTCACATTCCCATCACCCAGTCTGAACAATGACCAACGCCTGTCCAATCTTGTTTCATCCCGACGCGCCCCCCCCCCAACTCCTACCTGGTATTCCAGCGCAGGCCCCGCCCTGCTGCCTGGGCCTGGCTCCCACGCGGCACTGCGCTGCCACGCCCGGCAGCAGCCCTGACCCGACCCCGCCGCCCACAGGGCTCCAGCTCGGCCCTGGCCGAGGT